AATTATTACATGCGCACTCTAACACTGTAAATTCATTTACATGTACTAATATGCCATTGTATTTTTTTTTTTACAGATATTTTAATACATGTATACTAAGATTATATGCATTTGTTGGTATTTACTTTTTATTAATCTTTCACAATAAACATGATAAAAGATATAAATATCCATTAAACATAAAAAGTTGCTAAATAGGGGAACCTGATATCAATATAGGAAAGGGGGAGGGGTGTAGAAATGACATCTGAAGAAGAAATGAACAATACCAATGCTGATGATACAGACGCTATAACAGCATTAATGTCAATATAAAATTCACTAATATATACTATGCAGTCTTGGAAAGTGAGAACCGAAAGAAAACATAGAAGAAAGTAAAGAGTGAGGCAGAGAGTTTGTTAAAATGCTGACGGACAGTACGGTTCCCTTAAGAAAAAAAAAAGAAAAAAATCTCATGAACATTCAAAACTTTCTTTGATTACAACCACATTGTACCCAGTTAAACATACAATCATTCCATATAAAATTGTCATGTCATAATTTAATCTCATTCTGCATATATATATATGTGACACCTTTAATAAAAGATTGATTACCTATATGTACTGTTTATTTAAAAAAAAAAACAACACAATACTGGTACAATACTAGAATACAATACTTGTACAATTTTTTTATACCAGTATTGTGCACAATACTAGTATACCAGGCAGTATTGCGATCACCAACTACAGGAGATCCCCCAACAGCAGACAGACTTTTATATTTAACGAAAATACCGGAATCTGCAACCGACTTTGTTAGACACTTTATAGTCCTGTACTGACTTCCTGTCCTGCATGCCTGATATTTTGTTTACAAGTTCATACAAGTAACAGATTTTCATTTTACATAGACATCACTGGTATATGCATTTGATATCATTGCATCTTTGAACATAAATACTGCCAAGTATTCTAATAGCGGGTATGTTTATAGTTTCAGTTTTTACAGGTAAATCCCAATATTAGCAATAATTGGCTGAAAACTATAGACCAATTTCACTCACTTGTATTTGTTGTAAATTGATGGAGCATATTGTGACAAGTAACATCATGAACTATTTGGAGGCAAATAACATACTCTACGATCTCCAACATGGTTTCCGAAAATCGAGATCATGTGAATCACAACTCATTCAATTACTCATAACAACAACAGTAAAAATATACATACAGACCTCATTATTATGGATTTTGCCAAAGCCTTCGATAAAGTACCCCACAAACGTCTACTCTACAAACTTAAATTCTATGGCATTCAAGATAACACTCTTAAATGGATTCAGGCTTTCTTATCAGACCGTACACAAACAGTGGTTATAGATGGAATAACATCAAATACAGCACCAGTTACATCAGGCGTACCCCAAGGAACTGTCCTTGGGCCTATACTCTTTTTAATTTACATTAATGATTTTCATGAATATCTTGAACACAGCAAATTACGACTCTTCGCTGATGATAGCATTGTATACAGAGAAATTACATGTCAACAAGACTGCATAAAACTACAAACAGATCTTAATGCAGCAGCTAAATGGGAGGCTGATTGGCTCATGGCCTTCCATCCAGGAAAATGCACAATTTTAACCATCACACAGAAAAAGAAACAATTCAAACACGATTACATTCTGCAAAACCATATTTTAGAACCAGTAAGGCCTAAAATAAAATATTGTTTGTTTCCCCAATCCCGACCGACCCTGCAAAAATGGTGCTACTCGTAAAATTTTATAGTCAAAACTAAGTCAAATATTATTTTAATCATTTTGGATTTTCAGGTTTGCCAGATCGTCCGATAATGTTCAAGCTTTTTGGAAAAATAATATTATTTCCCTACCTACCTACCCACACCTGGCTTGGCAGGGTCGGGATTGGGGAAACAAACAATATATTAATTTAGGCCTAACATCAGCAAAATATCTCAGCGTAACCTTACAGTCTAACTTAAAATGGAACAATCACTACGACAACATCATATCAAATGCAAATAAATCTCTTGGCTTTCTGAGGAGAAACTTAAAAGTATCAAACACCAATATCAAATCTCGTGCATACCAATCCATAGTGAGACCAAAACTTGAATATGCCTGTAGTTTATGGGATCCGCACACAGCAGAATATAAAAATAAGCTAGAAATGGTACTGAGGCGTGCGGCCCGTTATGTATGTAACAACTACCACAACACCAGTAGTGTTACATCCATGCTAAACGAACTACAATGGCCCTCACTAACTGAGCGTCGCCTCAAAACCAGACTAATCATGTTCTATAAAGTAATACATGGACTCATCGCAATTCCATCACTAGTCCTTATACCATCAGATACTAGAACAAGAAAATTACATACCCAAACATTTCGGCAAATATCCACCTCTAAAGACAGTTACAAATGGTCATTATTTCCGCAAACAATCATCCAATGGAACATGTTACCACAAGTTGTAGTAGCATGTCAAACAATTGAAACCTATAGAGATCAGTTGACACCAACTGTTCTCCACAACATAAATTAATTCTATAAATACCAATGTACATATTTTTAATCACTTGTTGTCTTTGTTTCATGTAAATATCACCAAGTATTCTACAAATTTAAAGATAAATTTTTGTTCTATATAATTTTAATCATATACTCCACGCATGCAACAGTTCGTAATCTTCAATATAAATGAAGCTGTAACTGTATACCAGAAGAAGAAGAAGAATTGTGTTTGCCAGTCTCAGGACAGTATATAGTCCGAGATTACTCTGACGTCCAGACAAGCTGGGGCCGTGGGACGTCAGAGATCGTCCCTGGCAAAACAGCCGTTGGACGTCAGAGTAATCTCGGACTAGACAGTAGTTCGAGATTACTCTGACGTCCAACGGCTGTTTTACCAGACAAGCTTGGGCCGTGGGACGTTAGAGTTCGTCTCATATAAAAAAGTGGATATTTGCCCGTCCAAAATAGATGCGCTGCTTCGTGGCTTCTGGTGCCGACTAACGGACTTGGAATCAATTATATAAATCTGGTATCAATTTGTTCATTTTTCATTTAAGTTTCATCTACATGTACCTGCTACCTTTTATTTTCTCATATTTAGACAGTTTATGGATATCCCAGTTTACAAACGGATGTAAAATTT